AACAATATTAAAATTAGGTCATTTTATAATACTACAGTTGCTTCTGGGTGTTCAAGTGAAATACAAATTTCTCACAATAAATCAAAGCCAAGAAATGATTAAAGTTAGTGAATAAGGAATGATGAAAGTAGATACAGGATGAAAGCTAGGAAGGGTTCTTTTGTGAACTTGTTCAGTAAATCGTGTTATGAAAAGAAAGGTTCAGGAAGGCAATAAGACCCACATCTTAGAGCATAAAACAGAATTATTGATGAAGGAGGGAAACATTTAGTCCTCTGAATAGACTATAAAACTTGCTGCACTGCTTCCATTAATCAGAGACTATTCCAGAGCAAGATACTGACTCTAGTGAGTTCTGGGGAAAGTCAGAAGCCTGCAGAAGAAAAGTTTGAAGCATGCAGCCCTTGGTTAAAGAGGTTTACAGGAAGAAGCCATTTATTCAACAAAAGAGACTAAAGTGAAACACCAAGTAGTGAGGTAGCAGCTTCAGGAATTTAGCTAAATCTACTGAAGACAATAGTAAAAGGAGGTTACTTACTGTAAGCAACAGACTTGCTGGTGAAGGGGCAGCCTAGAATTTATCATCTAGAACTTTAATAACTAGAAAATAAAAGTCAATTACTGTTTTCAAACCTTGAAAGAATTGGCTGACACTGCGTAAGACTAGACTAACTTGAAACCAGTGCTTGATTGTCATCTCTCAAATCCTAGAACCGTTAAGAATTATAGTGAATTTACCCTTATTATATTCTATACAGTAAGCAACAAATCCATAAGAAGAGCCAATATGCTAACAATGTGACTTTATGCAATATTTAAAGTCAGTTGTTGAGACCCAATTGCTGGCAAAACATTCTTTTTAAAATATCATTGTTTATTATTAAAGCACCAAACAATTCTTTTTTTTTTTTTTTTGGTATTTTCGAGACAGGGATTTCTTTGTGTAGCTTTGGAGCCTATCCTGACACTCGCTCTGGAGACCATGCTGGCCTCGAACTCACAGAGATCCACCTGCCTCTGCCTCCCGAGTGCAGGGATTAAAGGCATGTGCCACCAACGCCCAACTAGCAACAAACAGTTCGAATGAAGATATATAATATACTTGTCAATGTTCTGTTGTTGTGATTAAAAACACTTTTACCTAAACAACTTAAGGAAGAGAGGGTTTATCTGGAATTTTAGATCTACATGGGTAAAGTCCAACATGGCAGGGATTGAATGACATCACAGTAGGAGGAGAAAAGATAATAATCTTATTTTTAGATGCCCACAGAGAGCATAAAGAAAACAAAACCAGAAAGCAGGATAAACGACATGGTTAAAACCCATCTATCTCAGTGATGTACTGCTACTAGCAGGGCTCCACCTTCCAAGCGTTCCATACTTTCTCCAAATGGTGCCACCAATTGGAAACTAAGTGCTTGAGTACCTAAGCCTATTGGGTACATTTTTTTATTCAAACTACAACGTATAAGCAGACTGATTATTTTCCACAATTGCTACTCTAAAACCGACTTTGGAGTTCATGGATCAAGGACTTTCAACTTTCAAGAAATACTATGAAATACACTTTGTATTACTACAGTTATGATAGATGGGGAGTCCATTGATGGACATGGGAAAAATTAACAGAAATCCTCATGGATGTGATTTACTATACTGGATGCTAGTAGGAATATTTATGACTCATGGGAAGTTATCAAAATGTTGTTATCAACTGGAATTTGGAAGAAGTTGATGACAACAAAAATAGATTTTTCAAGGACTCAATATTTTAGTGAATAAAGTAACTGCAAATGTGGTAGAAACAGCAAAAGGATGAGAACTGGAATGAAGATACAACATAAAGGCCCAAAATAGATAATTGAAGACTAATTTCTCCTATGGCCATAAATAGAATCATTCTCAATAAAATACTTGCAAATTGATTGAAAATGCACATTAAAAATTGTCACGTGTGATCGTCTCGCCAGCAAGAACGACACAGGACACTCAGATCCCTCTGCAGTAAAGCTTTAATGCATCTTGAGAGGAGAGCATAAGCTTACCAGAGCGGAGACCCCGAGCCAAGAATCCCGTCCCCTAATAAAGGCTGGCAG